AGAGTTATTCCGCTAAAACGAATTTGGTACTTTTAATGCGCAAAATTCAACATCTCCTGTCGCATGTCACGCGAACTTCTGGCATATATTTGTTTCACAAATTTGGGAAGAGCCAACGTCAAAATTTTTTTGGCATGCTCCCTCTTAATCACTTTCACTTGATGACTTTATTATCGACACGATTTACTTAAATAGAGCTGTTGGGTATGACATTAATATATTACTTCAATTTTTTAAAGACATGCTTTTTTTTATGATACCGAGTGGTAGAACGAATAAGTCGTGCTGGTGGTAAGCGATATACATACATGTTTATTACAGTTGCAGTGTCACTTAAACCTATATATCACAAAGATGTGAGGGGCACAGTCACTGCGTCACATTTTTGGTAATTACATCAGCATCTAGTTACATCAGCATCTATCTCATCATCCACCCACTAAACACTGCGCGGTGATAAATCAAGTGATCATAATCGTAGCTAGTAGTGTCCTCTGACCGTTAACGCGCCAACATAACACCACGCATTCCACCGCATTTGCCGGAGACCCCTAATTAGGACGTCTGCTGGAAGAAAAGGAAGAGCGCTGCCAAAAACATCATACGAGCAGAAAACCCAACTAAGGTCAGTATAGTATAGTACAGTTGTTCAGAACTCCTTCTACATGACGATCCGTCCCGCTCCAGATATTCCTTTCCATACAGTCTACTTCTCTTCTTAAAAGCGTCACAACGAACGAACCACTTAACAACCAGCTCCTACGCGGAGCGTACGATGATATAGCTTCATGCTGGTACAATGTCATAATGTGTTATGTGAATAATAACAGAAATATTTTAGGATCTAGAACGAGTTATATTAGGATCTTATATTAAGATTTAAAGTCACTAAATAATTTGTCGTAGAAAAATTATATACAGCTTAAGATATTTTACATGGTCCTTGGGATTTAGGTCCGTCAATTTCGAGGGTGAACAAATAACAAGTCTATATATTTGAAAACAACATTTGTTATTATTTATTAGCACACTTAAATTGGGTTACACATACAGTCATCTGAAGTGGCTATCTGGTCCGGGCCGTGGGAAGCCGCCTTAACACTCTAGTATTGCTTATTCTCGACTAGTGCGATATGATTTACGGACCTTGCTTCCTAAATAAACGGAGAAAGTTTAGAGTGTCCAACACTCTTGTATCAGATTTTGTTATAGAGTCTCTCATTTTACCCTTTTCCAGTCATAGTTCGAATAAACACACTGCATTCTTTATTGGTGTGCAAATCATACGTATAGAATTTTATAGATTTTTCACAGGTCGCGCCATGGCAAAAAAGCCGTTATAACCAAAATATATAAGCGTGCGTACAGATCTGGCGAATGCGCCGAGAACGCGATGCACGTGGGCTGCGTGCAATTGAATACGTGTTACTATATGTGGCGCACGAACGGCGCGCGAACAGAACGGAGATCGAGAGTAGACTCCCAGATCCGCACTACTTAATGCACGTGCGCAGCTCGTGAGACTTTCGTAAACAGGCGCATTCGCTAGATTTATACGCACCCCAAAGATCTGTATCAAACGCATAGAGAAATTCGTAAGGTCTGCTGACTCGATCCGCCAACTAAGCTACAGAGCTTAGTTGGCGGATTGGCATACAGACAGGTTCGTGTCCTGACAGATTGAAGGAATTTTTCTTAGTGTTCGATCTCTATATTAATAATTATAACAAACTAGTAGAGTAATTCCATAAAAACAAACAGTAACACATCATAATTGCAATTCGGTGCGCGTTCGGAAACGGACGCGTCCAATACGCAGTGAGAATTATTATATTTCGAGTTTCGCGCGGCATAGGCCGCTGCGCGTAAGTAGCAATGGGTTCCTAACAACTTATAGCCCATAAGCTTTTGGCGTGCAAGATCGTATAGATCTGCAAATCCAACTTCAACGAGGATGAGATTTGCAGTGGCAAGATGCTGTTGTTCGAGAGCCTAGGCAAAGCTGAGCAGATGCGATCTCGCCTGAGAGATGGAGGCGTGAGAGTCTCCAGGATGTTATCACACTCCTGAAGGAGACTGACCCGGACGACGTGCCTACATTCGTGGGGAAGGAGCTGCACAAACTGCCCCCCGTCACGTTCGACCACGTCCTGTTACCAAGCTGCTGAAGGATATCATTTCCCTGAAGTCAAGCCTGGCTGAGTTGCAGTGTAGATTGGAGGCTTCAGATAACACCATAAGTGAGCTGCGTGCCCACGTTGCGTTATTAAGTAACGCTGCTTCGGTATGTGGGTCACCAGAAGTCTCTAATGTAAACACGCGTCGTGGGGCGCAAAATGCATCCATCAGCAGTGTCGAAATGGCACAAATGGTTGCGTCACCGATCGCTGCTGCCGTCGCGCGTGATGCGCCACGCCCTGTTGCCCGCGACTCCGCCCCGGCGGAAACGTGACGCGTGTGAATGTCAGCCCCTGCACGTGCATACGCCGCTGTAGTCGCTTCTACCAGCCGACCTGCCACTTCGAAACTCGAGAGGCGGCAATCGGCTAAGAGTAAAAGTAATCCCCGTGTGCCTGTCTTCGAATTTGCAAAACCACAGAGGCAGACGGATCAGTGCGACGAGGACGGCGTCACAAAGCCCTCCAGCCGTAACCTAAATAAATTAAGCTAGTCCTTAGTGTGGTAAAAACGTGTATATAGTAGATGATGTATTAGGGGTTAAAGTATGAAATTGCCGTTTTATTGCAATAGGTTCTTTGAATTTTCATAGAATCTTCATGGTTTGAGGTTTTCGAATGAAACTTTTTTCAAATGGTTTCTGTGATTTTTTTTTAAATTTGAAACATTTGAATATCGACTTTCAATTGTTTTTGTTATTCAATTTAGACAAGAAAGATGGATACTGCGAAAATTCGAGTGATTTATGAATACGAGTTCCGACGCGGAACTAACGCGGCAGAAACAGCCCGTAATATCAATGCTGCGTTTGGAGAGGGGTCTACTAATGAACGCACCGTGCGATTTTGGTTTAAACGCTTTCGTGATGGAAATTTCGACTTAAAGAACGAGCCACGAGGAAGACCGCCCACACAGGTGAATAACGATGAATTAAGAGAGATAGTGGAAGCCGATCCTAGTCAAACTACCCAGGAATTAGCGGCATGGTTTAACGTTACCTTACCCACAATATTGACTCACTTGCGTCAAATCAATAAAATAAAAAAATACGAAAAATGGGTGCCTCATGATTTGACTGATCTGCAGAAAGAAACGCGTGTTGAAACTTGTGTTGCCTTGTTGAACCGGTACAGAAATGAAGGAATATTGGATCGAATTGTAACATGTGATGAAAAGTGGATTCTTTATGATAACCGGAAAAGAAAAATGCAATGGCTGACCCCAGGTCAAATGCCACAACAGTGTCCTAAAGCAAAACTTACCAATAAAAAGGTAATGGTAACTGTTTGGTGGTCTCAGCATGGTGTTATTCACTATAGTTTTCTCCGATCTGGTCAAGCAATAACGGCAGATGTCTATTGTGCCGAACTCCGAACCATGTTGACAAAACTAGCAGTAAAACAACCCCGACTCATGAATCGACCTTCACCATTATTGCTCCACGACAACGCGAGACCTCACACAGCACGAGAAACCATTTTGACCCTTCAGGAACTGCAGTTAGAAACCATTCGTCATCCTCCGTATTCACCAGACCTTGCTCCAACGGACTACCATTTTTTTCGTGATTTGGACAATTATCTACGTGACAAGAAGTTTTCTTCCCAGGAGGCAGTACAAAATGCTTTCACACAGTTTGTGCAGTCTAGATCGTCGGAGTTCTATCGCAAAGGCATTAATAACCTTCCCATTAGATGGCAGCAATGTATAGATAATAATGGCAACTATTTTGATCAAATAAATTTGTTAAAAATTTAAAAAATAAACAATTTAGATTTTCAGTACAAATCGGCAATTTCATACTTTAACCCCTATTATTTTCGGTAAGTTTGTAAGTATTTCTTTATAAGTATATTTGTATTAATAATTATAACAAACTTGTGGGGTAATTTCACAAAAAAAAATAAATAAATTAAATATCAATTCAATACATTGTCGGTATATTCTATGTTTATTTTTCTGTAACTCATATTTATGCAGCTAGTTAGTATTGCAATTAGCCAGAATTCGATGCAATTTCATTTGTTTTTCGGTACCTTTAATATTTCTCAAAAACGATGACTTACACTGGTTAGTATTTTTAAATATTATTTGCACGCCTTTTTCTGTCTACACTCAATATTGACGATGAATTGCCAAGACCACTTAATAAAAAAATCAGGGTATTCTGTTTTTTATTTAATCGGAACATAATCTTTCCGAGATTGATATTATAATTGGGTTTTCGGTGTAATGAAAATTCGAGCAAACGTTACTTCGGAAAAAAAAATTTGAGTTTGTGATAAGTTACCCTCCATGACGCAAAATATCCCATTTCCAAAATTTAAAGCACATTCCCTCCATGTTCCCTAGTCGTTGGACTTCCTGTACATAAATCACAAACAAGTTGCGCGCTGACCATATCATAAGAAAGGAATAGTTTTATCTGAATTCAAAACTTCGTGCAAGTCTTTTCAAATGGTGCCTTAAAAACCATTTTTTCTTCTTAACCGACTTCAAGAAAAGGAGAGTTTTTTTTGTATGTGTGTTACGCGATAAGTCCGGTATTTGTGTACCGATTTTCATGATTCTTTTTTGTTAGAAAGTGGGTACCTCCATAGTGGTCCCATTTAATTTTGAAGAAAATCGTCCACCTATAAGGGTGGCTGTTCACGCATGAAGATTAATTTTTATAAATAGCGCCAAAATTTTATTATAAAGAGCAATTATTTTAATGGTTGATTTTGTTATTCTCCAATTCAAGGCGTTTTTGTCTCTCAATATACTTTGACTTGTGAGAACCGATTTTTATTATCTCCTGTGTCAAGTCCCGTACAGTGGCGAACTAGGGGATGAATCCGGGGTTGCGCACTGTCCGGTAACCGATTTCTATAAAACTTGGTAATTATATGTAATTCCACGTATTTTTGAGGTCGGTTTTTTAGTACTCTGTACTGAGATTATTCTATTCCTTTCTCCTTATTCCTAGAGCCAAGCAGTTCGGCCTGCTTCACGTTGTCTGGTAGTGAAGTATCTGCTGTATCCGGAACGAATAATGTTGCCATGCCAGCAAGGAGGGATGTCCCTCCGAACACTAGAGACGGAAGACCGGGCCAGTAGTGCATCTGAAATGAGAAATTTTATTGAGTTGAATACATTATAAGATTTGAAAACACTTTTTTTCTATTGACAGATTTTGTAATTTAATAAAACGACAACAGGGTGTTATATACGGAATTATAAAAGATAGACTTAAATATATACGATGTAAAATATTTAAGAAATTGGTAACGTACTGTTTATGTAATTTATGACATTTTTTTAAATATTATTTTGAACATAGTAGCATAGTATAATAAATCCAAGTTTGGTAATTCCATACAAACGTAGCAGCGCAGCTTATATGTGTGCACACCCGCCTCGCGCCGCCCGTGTTCAAACGCACATAGCGCGTGTCGTAGCACGCATTATTCATTTAGAAATGCAGCGTTCGCACGGTTTTTAAATAATGACATCAAAATAATAGACGCCTCTAATGTTGCGTTTATGGTTGTTTGAAAAGGAGTGCCACAATTTTAGAAATTAACATTCTCCTCGATACCTACTGAATATGAGAGAAAAGGCACACATTTTTTTTTAATTGTCATAAATGTAATAATGCACACACTCAACATAGCCCCATACTAGGGAAACCTTGTGTCGCGGGCGCCATGGACACACACATAGACAATCGCAAATTATACCCAAACTCACGAAAGAAATAAATGAAGGCTATACATAAATTTCTCCTTGCCCGGGAATCGAACCTAGGACGTCTGCGTGGCAGTCGTGGTAAACGTTCGTTTTTTTTCGACGACTTTGGTAGTAGATGAGGAAGTTCCGAAACGAATTTTTCTAAATTAGTTCTGATCTGGGTGTTCCGGATAACAGAAATAAATTCAGATAGAACTGCGATGATGCTCTTTTTCAAACAGATGAGGCGTGTCACCTTTTTAACAAACTCCGCCCACTACGTGACCTACAGGTGCATAAATAGTAATACAAATATTTTGTTTAAATCAAAGGTACAACTAAAATAAAAATGTGACAAGCCTACACTTCGAGCGAAGTGTAGGCATTGATATGCTGAACAGGCGGGAATTGTGCTATGTTAATAGCGTTTTAAACAACAAACATCATAGCAAAAACATCCTTAAAGAATCGGTACGTACTTTTCGAAGTTTTTCGTTTCGCTTTGTGATTCATTAAAGTGAAATGAAGCGGAAAACTAAGAGTTGTTTGCCTGTTTTTGTTTATTTATTTGTTTCACGGTTGTTTGCTTCAAGGCTATACAATTCTACTGAGATTTTCTCTGCTCGTAGTTTAAGAAACCACTTACGGTTAACAATGTAGGTTTATAAAATGAGCCTAATGAATGGGTACATATATTCGTGGGTTAATAGTATTTTATGCAATCGTTGTATAATGAGAATCCTCGAGAAAGTCGAGTACCGTGTTATATAAGTAATACGTACGTGGTTTTAAGACCTAATTATGTAATTAATGCGTACAATACTTTTTCTACGAGTAAAGATTGTTTGTTAACAATCCACGAAAACAAACTCAAAGGAAAGCCAAACAAATGCTACAAAACCAAAACTGTCCGTGATTGGCAAGTACCGCTTATATTTTAACTAATTAGAAGTCAGTAGAGCGTTTGAATAGCGTCATATTTCGAAATTTTATATCGTTTTCAAATAGTTCTTTTTCGCCAAATGGTTACGCCTTTGTACCTATTATGTAACATTTTGACACATTATTAAATAAAATAATTTGAATTTTAATAATTTCACAAATTGAAACAGTGACGTTATTCTGTTCAGCAACACAATGACGCGTTCAAGGAGATTCTTTTATTTAGCAAAAATACGACGTTCTTCTTTTTAAGCTCATTGTAGTTCTGCGTACAGAACAATAATGAAATTTTTCAGTGTCGTTCAGAACTAAAAAGAGCGCCTTTGTGATATAGTTTAAAAAATTATAATTGACAGATTAAAGTACAGGAGTAGGAAAAAATAATACTATACGAATGGATTTACCATCGAATATATAGCCAGAAATAGAGACGAAAAAAAGAGCCATCCATCCCTGGCAACTCATCAGGTAAACGGGCTTTAGGTCACTTTTAAATATCAACTCTCGTTTGCTCTGAAATTACAAATTAGAAAACTGAAATAGTATTGCGCCAATAACTGACCAGTGTGTACGTCTCCGTATATTCCAAAAATATTCTGCATTTATTGTAATAAAGATAATATCTCTAACAATGAGGGCTGTTCCATTCGGTGGTGTGCGAAAAACGGTAAAACATCTAATTACAAAACAAACGGAATCACATTTCTTATGTAATTAAATATTTAATATGTAATTTCTCAATTTAGGTCCATTATAGCAAAGCTCGACTTAAACTGGTATTTTAAAGTGAAACAATTGACGACACACGTCAATTGTTTCGAATTCGGGCTAGCCAATTGGAGCGCGCGTTGTCACAGTAGTCATTTGGCAGAATAGTCTTCAAACAGATTAATGACATTTCGTCTCTAATTCTGGTTATATACTCGACGGTTATTGGATCGCTCTCATACTTGAATTAAAGAGGAATCTTTCTCCAATGGTAATATTATTTTAAAATTTTAATTAAATCCTGTAGTTGCATGTGTTATGTTTTAACTGCTGCTGTGTGCTGTTTTACCTTCCAAAGAGAGATAATTGCTGTACCTTACTTTACTTTCTGAACTTCCATTAGTTCATTCACATGTGTCCTGGTTTGCTTGTTTGTATTGCTTATTTCAGCTACAGGTCACTGGCCTTTGAACATTGTGACCTAATGTTTGGCAAACAAAACAAGTCTTACCAAAAGAGGTGTCTGCGGTGCAAGAATGGATCCAATTCTTCCCAGTGAAGAGCATAACGCGTGCATGGAGTTTCTGGTGTACGTTGGGAACAACTCCGAGGTGAAGATGTACGTGATGGCAAAGTACGACGAGGACACGAACTTGCCCATCACGTACAAAAATATTGACAGCCAAGGTAGGTCTGTAGATAAGCGAAATAAAATTGATGATTTGAGGTGATGACTTCTTCGTAACAGGCATTAGTATATTGATAAAATATGTAAAAAAACTGTAATAAATGTCTAGTACATTATAACAGTATTTAAAAAGTGTAATTTTTCAGTGTAACTTTTCGTCTACATTATTATGTATAGTGTAGAGCACAGCAGCCTCAAAACTTATCTTTCTATAAAATTTATGATATCGAATGATAAAATTATGATTGCACATATAGAAATATGAAACTATTTTTTCCGGGTCTAAATTGCGTATAGTTTCGTTTTTTTCACATAAAAAAAACGTTTCGGGCTCTCTACAAGTTCCATGATCAATCGTGTTTCATTTTCTAATTTGCGTTTAATGTTCTTCTATCAATTAATTTTTAACAGTTTTATGACTCGTAGGAGTTTACAATTTATATATATCTATATAAAATTGTATATTATTACCTCTTGGAACAAAAGGTTGTGACAAGCACAAAATCGCAGTAAAGACAAATGTGAAAATCAGTGGTATCTTTCTCTTAAATCTAATCATCAAAAAAGTTGTAATCAGGTTGCCAGGAAAGTCTACCATATTAATCAAGGCAAAGTTCAGGTATTTGTTCCCTTGTAACGAGACTGAGTTGATCATCAATCCGTAGTTCACGAACGTTGACGTTGTCCACCACGTCAAGCAAATGAAGAACCGTCTTAACAATGCGACTGATGTAAAAGTACTTTTCAACAGTTCAGGAAAAGTAGCTTCTTTAATATTTTCTTCACAAGATAGCTTATCTAAAACTGCTTTATCAATTTTAACTTTGTTTGTTTTTGCTATTTTTTGTATTATCTGTACAGCTTCATCTTTCTTGCCTTTACTAAGCAACCATCTGGGACTTTCGTCCAGTAGTAACAGGTACAAAAAGAATAATAAAGCTGGAGTATAAAGGACTCTCAAGAGATGTCTCCAGTAAGGGAAAAGCCAGGCAAAGAGAGGTAGTCCAATTCCTCCAATGCTGAATCCAAAGCCGCATATCATTTGATATATCAGACGCTTGTTGTTAGCAACCATCTCCATTGCTGAAAGAAAAAGGACATAAAAATGAGAATGGTGGTTTTCGGTACATTTATAATTACAAAAATTGACTACTGTAAAAATATCAAAAAAGGTAAAATGGAGCTCCTAAAGAATATGATTGCTGTAGTCAGTATACGTTTAAATGTGAAAAAGAAAAGGTTTCGATTAAGTTGCTTTCTAGTTTTCAACAGTATAACGTATCTATATGTATTTATGTCTAAATAAATAACAAAATTGCTCTAGCGACTAATTGGTGTATTATGGTTGCTAATTACATAGTGCATAACTAGCGCATTTACATAAAATGGTTGTTCTCGTGAGAATCTGAAAGAATGTACTTTAAATCCATTGTTTTATGTTACGACTACCTAGACGAAGATGTATCGGAATGTTTAAAAGCAACTGAAGTGATAAATATTTTTGAATAAGCACTGAAGACATGGGAAGTTCTCAACTTCTATAAATGTCACGGACTAATAACTATAATGTCCCAAACAGCACATCAATTACCCGGTCTCAAACTAGGGAATTCCTTGTGCTATGAATGACCACATCAACGGAATTTACTCTGAAGCAGCGGAATTCACTTAATTTGGAAAAGTTAATTTCCCAAATTGGTCCTACTCTCCTCATCCAGCGCCTACAATGCAAACCGTTGGGACACCAAGGTCGTCTAATGACCTTGGGTATAAATCGTTACCCATTCATTATAAGACTTAGATCCTTGTACTCAATGTTCATAATACTTCCTCAGCAGAAATGGTTTGACTTCACATTTAATAGGTATTTTAAACACGGATGTTACCTACTTAGCATAAAGATAGGTGAGCAAATATCCCCCAAAGCAGCTTCGAGAAACTCTAGGGCGATGAACAGCCAGTACCACGGGGAGAAACTGCGCGCCATGCCCAATACTCCACCCACGACTCCTGTTATCACTATCACCTTCTTTCTTCCTAGTCTGGAATTTAAAAGTTTTAAGTTCATATGGTTGTTGATTTTGTGGCGTATATAAACTATTCACCAGGCTGTGTGCGCACATGACATGTCACGACCGCAAAATACCATTGCTGTGCTCCCATTTGCCAAGTTAGTGATTCTTTGTTACCGCAGTTGGCACCACACAAAAATATTTAATTTTTTGTTTTTATGCTTTCATTTTTGTTGTTGTTTTATTATTATTTTTTTAATATTTTGTGGTGTTGTTTGTGTCCATTTTGTGACAGTCAAATAAATATATTTTCTTACTTTCTTACGATTTGAAGTATATGGAGAGACAGCGCAATCACACCTATACGTGTCTCCATACCAAAATTTTATGTTCCACATCTAGCAATGTATTTTATATTTCCGTCGACGTTAGTTGAAAACTTGAAAGCTTGTGATAATACTCAAAACCCAGAAAATAATGTTTAAAGAAATGAAATTAAAAAATATCTACTTTTCTCTTGCGGTAACTTCATACCTTATCCATCAAAATAACCAATTTAGAAAAGTTCTTTTCTCAAATTGGTCCTACAGGGAATCGAACTCGGGACCTCCACATCAAATGCCCACAGTGCAAACCGTTGAGCCGCCGAGGTCTCAAAAATATGAAGTTTTAATCTATCACTGTATAAAAAATATCAAATTATGAATCTATTTGTATACAGGAGTAACTATACATAATACACACGGACATAAAACGTTTACTGAATGGCTTAATGCGATTGTGTATCGATGAGTGTGGCCACTCCTTTATTAGAAATGCTTTGCCTGACGTAGGACACAAGATCATAACTCACCTGCGGCTGCAAGAAGATTGCATTTACCAAATTAGTACATGCATTCTTGGCGTTGGATTTAGAAGCAAAGGCTTTAATGCCTCAACTTAGGATTGAAACTACGAACTCTCCCTGCCCAAAGAGCCAAACTACGCCAGGTCGTATTCACATCGACCGCTATCTTCATTGGTATTCCAACGATGAACTTCAACAGTGGAGTTGAAATTCTGCGAGAGTACGAAACTTCCGTCTTAATGACCTTAGATTTCTTATTTAGTCTGTGCACTCTAATGATTTCCGCATTCGGAAAAGGATGCGGCTGCTCTGTGCACCTTATGCAATATAGTTATTTGCACTTATAACGAATACACTGTACCGAAACAAATAACGTAGGTATAATTTAGTCTGCATTTACAAAGTCCATACTAGCAGTTAAATTCTTTAGCAAAAGACGGTATATACCATAGATTATCTACATACGAGAGGCAAAAGACGAAGTAACAGGATATTCATCGATCAAGGCGAACTTGCCAATACCATATTCAGGACATCCGTCCTAAAGTAAGATAAGGCTAAGAGTTTTTTTTATAATATCAAGTGACGGGGCTAACAAGTCGTGCGCCTGACGGTAAGCACAAGCCTGTTCACAACAGTTGCAGTGCCACTCAGCTCTTTAAATGGCAAAGATCTGAGGCGCACTGCCACTGCGCCCGTCTCCCTTAGATGTAAGTTGACAAGTCCCATGTGCCTGTAATTTCACCAGCACCCTTCAAAACCGGAACATAGTAATGGTAACTTTACTGCTTGGTGGCACAAATAGAAAAGGTGGCAGTACTTCCCTGGATGAACTCTTTCACAAGGAGCTCTACTGCTACTAAATTACCCTTAACCGATGAGCGTGTATGAAAGCATTGATGTGTTTTTATTTGTGATACCTAGTGATGGCACGTACAAGTCCGCATGTTGCAATGCCAGGCTATGTAATTATTGTCCTTTTAATACCAAACAGTTCAGAACTAATGTTGGCTCCAATGCTATTTTGAACCGAATTTGCCGTGAGTACAATAAATTACATAAAACATATAAACATAGGTCATCTCGTTTGGATTTGTTTTCATTTTCATTAAATAAATTTAAAACTCTATTGTATAACTGCTTAGACTAACAATACTGTAATTTTACAATTTAATTTAAATACATTTACACAACTTACGTAGGTATCCTTGCATTTACATATTTGTTTACAATCATATCCATTTGTTTGTCAGTAATATAACGCTTCTAAGGGTCGAAACACAAAACTGCGATGCGACGCCGACGCAGAAATCTTTCTTTCGATGTTATATTTCTTTGTGTCTTTTACAATACAACACTCTTTTTACGATCCATGTAGCTACCTAGTTTAAAAAATATGTTCAGTACGGTTGATGATCCTCGAAGGTATGGTTACCCGAACTGTAGCAGTGAGAAGCCTTGTCGCACGAAATCGCATCGCAGCAATTCGCGTCACAGTTTTGTGTTTCGACCCTATATGATGTTATATATGCATATATTTATGTATTTGCCTATTGTTGGGTTTACAATTGCATAATTTCTGCTGCGTTATTTTATGTCCATGTTTAGTAGTGTATTTCTGTTGGCGAATATAATAAATAAAATAAAATAAATACTGCCACCGCGCCCGTCACCCCATTGTCAGGGACAGGCGTGTCGCTCACCACCCGGCACGCGACTTGTTCCTCACTTCACTTAGTATTTAAATATATATATACATATATACTAAATCTCTAAATGTAAATCGAAATGTATGAAAGTTTTAGTAATAATTATAACAAAGTAGTGGAGTAATTTCACAAAAAAGAATTGAATATCAATTCAATAAAAATTTAAAATACAGTGAATAGCGACATCTCTCGCCAGGGCCGGTAGCTGTAAAGGTATCTAACTGGGTGATAAAAATTTCATAGATTTGTCATAGATGGCGCTACGACTAAAAAAGACGTTGAAAAACCAGATACAAAGACACGACAACAAGCACATAGAAAAATTCGTGAGATCTGCTGGTTCGTTCCGTGGCTTAGTTGGTATAGCATCTGGCACGGTATGCTAGAAGATATATGCATTATAGTTTTTGTGTATAACTTATACTGGAGTTAATTCTTATACAAAGTAGGGCTAAAATAAGCTTTTTGGCCTTATTGGCTAGAAGCGTCCTCCAAGGAAAGGGTTTAGGCCTTAGTCTATAACTGTCCAATGCGTCTAATAGTGTTATGAACTTTTTAAGTCGTTTACCTGCCGTAACGAAGGTTTCATTTTCCATTATCGCTAAATGAAATCAATAGTTTAAAGTATACAATTTAAAAAAATTATATTAATTTTTTTTCAGACCTGTTTGTATTGTTATCTCTTTTGCGTATTTATTTTATGAAATTGGCTTATGTTTATTTTTTAAACAAACCATCTTTTCGGGTTCTTTATAGATCCCATGGCCACGGCAGGCATCTAGCCCTAAGAATTCGGATTAAGAATAGATTTTTTTTCTAATGAATGGCTTGTGAGACTAATTGTCTCAATCCTGACAGTGTCCGTTTCATGCTAGTTTCATAAACATCATGGAGGGAGTGTAAACAGAAAATTTGTTCAGTGAATAAGAGAGAGTATCGAAGACATTTTTGCAGAAATTGATTATTAGATATGAAATCTAATACATAAAAAAGAAAAATTATAATAGTGACCCACGTCAAATTGGTCTGTGACTCAGCTACAGAAGACAATGGTGACAATTAAGCACAATGCCCTTGCTTATAATAGGTGTTCTGTCAATGCCCTCGCTTATATTCTGTCACAGCCAGCAATGGTTAAGAACGGACAAAAAATTGAACGCGCACATACGCCCGAGTAAAAAAGGTAATAATAAAATACTTAACGACTTCTCAGGTTTTAGAAATCGCGAAATAGCATTAAAAAAAATGTTATATATATGTTTTTACAAGGGGTCTACCACAACGTCTTAAAACAATGTTACTTTAACCTTACATTGACTTTTCGTACCATAACGCGCTTAAAGTAAGCTTTTTGTAATGTTAAAACTATGATGTTTTATTGGCAGCTTTGTGACTATTCATTCACTCAGTTCGTACTAGGACGTGACATTAACATTAAAGTAATATTGCTCTTATTTCAAATTTAGCAATCTTAAAATAGTTACACGGATGCAATGGAAACAATATTATTTTCAGTTTTATTGACACACCTGACTACAACAATAATAATAGAAATACTGTTATCATTTTAATATTCACGAATAATATATAAAATTAACACCTGAGGGACACGATTGTTTGTTCCTCGCAACTGTTGTGTAATAATAACAACCTCGGTGACCTAACGGTTTACATTATGTTCGCTGGATACGGAGGTCGAGGATTCGAATCCCGGTATGACCAACTTGGGAATGAACTTTTCTAAATTGGTTCTGTTCTGGTATTGTATTGTAAGTGCTTCAGAATTCCGTTGCTTTGGTACTTACAGTATACAAGAAGTTCCCTAGTTTGCGACCAGGGAATTCTAGTGGTTGTCTGGCCCATATATTTTTTTTTCTAGTTTGTATACTTTATCATATTTAATATGATATAAACACACGCTTGTCAACATCAGGTAAAATTTTACTTGATGTTAAACGATGGAATGACCTGTCTAAGGAATACCTATTCACTCTAGCGTTGTGTAAATCCTATATCTATTGTATTGTATTGTATTGTATTGTATTGTATTGTAGTGTAGAGCGGTAGCCACGATGAGGCAATAGTCACTGGTTCGAGACCAGTCGGATAGAACCAATTTTTCTTTGCTTATTTTTGATTGTATTAATAATAATAACAAAGTAATGGAGAATTTTCACAAAAATATATATGAATATCATGCTAGTAAAACATCATGTTATTCAAAGTCAAAAACTATGAAAATATACCAATCAATAAAGCGATATTTCTATCAGTTTTCTGGTAGCTGTAGGTTTAGTTGAGTGAAGAAACTTTCATAAGTTGACACAGGTGGCGCTACGACAAAAAAGCGGTTCAAACGCAATATAAAGATCCGCAACAAGAACATTGAGAACAGCTCGACCCGTAGTTTCGTGCGTCTACCATGACATGACAGTCACAGTTATCGCTAGCGCTCGCGTAAAATATTTGTACACAAAATGTTTCTTCTTGTGACCGATAGGGGCGCTGTGTAATTTGCCATACAAAACGTGAACTACCTCTACCTCTACAACTACCTTCACCTGTGTTTACTGTGACAACTGTCACAATAAACTCATGGTAGAGGCACAGTTGGCAGAGCGGTAGCCGCGTTGAGGCTACAGTCGCAGGTTCTAGTCCAGTTGGGTAGAAGGATTTTTTCTTTGTGTTTGTTCGTGTGTAATACTGCAGGGTGATAGCACCAATGACTGACATTTTAAGGGAAGTGTCTTTAAATTTGAAATAAATTCTCCTCTAGTTAACTAACCAGTAAACGAGTCTCACCTATTATTCATTATTATGAATACCCAGCAATTGATACTACACCAATAAAAAACGTGTTACTGTGGCAGAAAATTTTGTCCTTAATCTTATTACAAACGAATTTAAAAACGATGTAGAACAGTGGTGCTTGTCGGTCACTGGTGCCACCACCTTATTGTGTATTAGAATATAGTGTCCACCGTTAAAGCAAACAGCAATCATAAAATGTATTAAGAATTAAAAGCTTCTGTCTACAAGTTACTCCTTTGTAAAATTATCTCAAATTGAACACCTGTGTCGCTCTAAAGGCATTGTTATCAGTAAGCACCTTTTGTGTCCCGTTGTTCTTTACTTAGTTTCATTTGTTTATTTATTTTGTTGACAGAGTATTTGCATTGTATTTTATTTTATGATTTTTTCAATTGGTCTCGGAAATAGGAACGGGAAAAAAGCGAAAAGTTCCATAGTGTGCACGAAACAGCCGCTCCATGTACCCCGATAGAGGCGGTTGCTCCACGCGTCTGCGTTCGACATAAATTAGTTTGTTTTTATTGTTTGGATATTAAAGAATTCATAACTGCAATACAAAATCGGCCAACAAATTCACTACATTGTATTCTTGCTCTACTTAAATAGTTTATTCCTTGTTCAAAACAATATTTAGATATTTTTATTGCTACCACCACCGCAGATGCGATATAAGCGAATTACCAAACTACGTGGGTGTATTTTACCGCTTATACACCGGAACTGTGTCTATTTACTTGTAAAATATCCACTGTTAGTTATCTTGTACTTTGTAAACAAAGCACGACATTAAAACTAGATGAGTGAACAATGTCTGTGTCACGGTTAATACTAAATTACGATATTTTTTTATAATAACAAGCAATATTAGTCTAACAATACTTACTACATTAAAAGAGACTGTTTGTAATGTCGTGAATAGAAATATCCACGTATTTGTTAGTTAGTATTTGTCTTTGATTTATACAATGTAGTTACTTATTATTAAATGAATAAAAGGTAAGATGTTGAACATGGTATCATATACTCGATATAATAAAGCCACGTGTGATCATAAGTCAGACGTGTGATGAAAGTCATTAAAATAATGAAATGAATACTGTATACGTGAAATTGTATCACTCTCCTATTTAAACGTAAAAAGTTATCGACTGATTGGTTCGTAGAATCTCTTACAATCTTTCATGAAAAGTTGTCATACATATCATTCTATGTTCATTTACATGGCCGTTAAACGAGGAGGCCCGGGATCAAAAGCGTAGGACAAATTAAGGAAACGAACTCGTCTTATTCAGTTTGGTACAGGTATCCTGCGCGTTCTCTGCGAGTACCCTTAGACTTAATTCATTAGTCCAACTCATATAGTACAGAAAATTCCTAGTTTTAAACCAAATAATGCGGTTAGGCACACGATTTATTTATTTGATTTACTTCTAGGATGTCAAGAAGGCAGCAATGTTTTTAATTCATTTGATTATTTTGTAGAATAGCAACGTGTTAATGATGGTTGTAAAGTTTTACTCGACAAGAATTTAGCCATATTTGCTAAAAGACTTGCTGTAGATAATTGCTTCCTGTTGTTAGAAGTCGACAAATATGTCATTTGCAAGATTTTATCTAATAGTAGCGTTTATGAGGTAACCAGACCGTGTAGCCGCGTTAGGCATTTCATAGGTCGCTGTTCATTCAAGTAATGTGTTAGATCTGTCGAGATAATATAAAGAATACATTAATTTTTCCTAGTGTCAAAATGCACAGAAATATATTACCGTTTTGTAGGTTTACTGTTTTGTACTATACAGTGTATAGAAGGTCTTTTCGGTCGAAAATTACTAGTTTCGGAGTCTGTGTGATTTTATTTTCGTGTAATTTAGTTTATCATATATTATTTACGGGACATTGATTAACTCTGACCTGTATTCGTTTCTAGATCATCTCACCGATTTTCGTTGAGTATGATCATTTAGTGTTCAAAATAGGGTGAAAAATAGGGTAGTGTGCGTTAATATTAGACATAATATACTATATGTCAGTGAATCGTGATCATCTGATCTGTAAAGGGCCCGAAACGTTAGTTTCTTTGAAAAAACAAAAAAAAAGCAACAAATACACGCGATTTAGATAGGAAAAATACTTTCATTTCCTATGTGTAACAGTCGCGAAAAGCTACGAACTCGATACATTCAAAATAGGTCAAACTTTTGTTGGTACAGAGCGCGTTTGCAGTAGTATCCTTTTAGGGCCAGCGCATTTATTAATGTATAGTTTATGCTATTGCAATTGAAATAAGGCATGAATTTCAATGTTCAGAGATGCAGAGAAATGCGCCGCGATTCTTCGAAGTCGGTCTCAGAGAATTGCAATTTATACCTTATTTCAATTCCAATAGCATAAAATATACATCAATAAATTTAATGGCCATATATCATATAGAAATAAGTATAATATACCTATTTATGTTTTGATGAACGTACCTGTCAGATAAAGGCCCGATAATCAGTAGCCCGATCATGTATCCGAAACTGTGAACTGTTCCCACTAAAGTTCGCTTCCAGTCTTGACATGCCAAATCGTACTGTAATGGAAATAAATTTCATCAGTTCGAATATACCTTACGCCTTTTCAATTTGATACTAAAATTTTAAGTGATAGTTGCTCCACCCTACGAGACCAGAACCGAAGCCTGGTATGGATAACCTGTATCACATACTTACATAAACACGTTCACGCTAAAGCCGAGAGGCAACAGAGTGCTGGCTGAGCAGCTTATATAAAATGTATGTGATTTTATTAGACTTCCACTGTGCTATAGCGACACTCGGCTCGGGCTCGGCACGTTGTAGCTTGAACCTTTATTTTTGACTCTGGCCTGCAAGATTCTAATAGCTAACATGCCATCTGGGGGCCTACCACAACCTCTTAAAACAATATTACTTTGTTAATAATTGAATGTTAAAACTATGATGTTTTATTGGCAGCTTTGTGACTATTCATTCACTCGGTTCATACTATGATGTGACATTAACATTAAAGTAATATTGCTCTTATGTCAAATTTATCAATTTTAAAATGGAAACAATATTATTTTGAGTTTTATTGTGTTAATATTGATTTGTAATGATTAAAAGTTAAGTTAAACTTTTAATCATTTACATATATTTCTTCAATATTTTGTTTATTTTTTTATTTAATAGGACATAGTAACTAATTTTTCGTTAAATGAAAATACGCGATGTTTATTTCGTAAAATTATAACAGCGCCATCTATATGCTCCTTGGCGAAACTAACAGTTGACACTAGACCAGAGATTCCCAGACTTTTTTTCTCATAGACCACTTTCAAAATTTAGCTGGTTCCGGTGGACCCCCTGCAGCTACATTTCTACCATATTCCATATCCAAATTATTTTTTGTCACGCCAACGTAGACTCCCGTCGAGTCTTCCGTGGACCCCTGAGGTCCACCTGGACCACTTTGGGAACTAAGGATATAGTTCCGAATTCACAACCTGACTATAACTATTCAGCTTGTTTTATTTATTTTTCTTCATGAAATTGCGGAATAATTATTGAAAACAACGTAATTTTAATAGATTTGCGAAATTGCTGTGCCCAACAGGGTCCACAATTGATGCTCATAGATATAAGTTTTTCATCTCTGTATTTTTACATTGTGGAATGCAATAAATTACTGATTACTGATTACAGATTTTGTTATTATAATATACTTTTCTACACATATATACATATATATATTTTTTAAACATTATACTACGATAAGACGATTCGGAACATCGAAACAGAAAGAGACGGTATTATGTATTTCACATAGCGTTATCTCTTTCCTATTTTTAGTAAGGAATAGCAAGGAATATAACATTGGGAAATCATTCGTTCTTTCAATCACTTTTGCAATAATATATTACTTGGTTGACATGGTACGAATGTCAGTAATATTATAATAAGATTACTTTGAAATAAGATTGTTTTTGGAAAGGTTATGGTAGGCTCCCAGGTCAGTTAATAGACGTCAATAGCTTACTTACCATACCACAAACCATACCCATACCACAAAGTTTGAAAATAAAAGTTTTCAATCAGTGCGTTCTACCCCTTAAAACACACGGACCCGAGACATGACACTTACAATATGGCTAGTCCACCAGTGAAAAGTCGCTTAGCAAGGTATGGAACGAGCTTTTCTCGGAGTTTCTCTGAAGGATAGATTCTAAATGAGGTTATGTGAAGAGAATCAAGGTCGTTGACATAGCTGGTAGAATAAGCAAGCTGAAGTGGCAGTAAGCTGACCATATCTCAGAACCGATAACCGATGGAGGAAACGAGATCTCAAGTGGAGATCACGGTTCGGAAAACGTAGCGTAGGATGCCCTCGGGCCAGATGGAGTGGCGATCTGTGAAAGGCTGCTGGCGGCAGATGGATGCGACAAGCCGAGGACCAAGCGAAGTCGTATACAGGAGAGGACTTTGTCTAGTAGTGTATTGTAAGTTTTAGTGTAAAGCGAATTTTTTCCTCCTTTGACGATATTGGCGACAGACGAAACGCTTCCTTCAAAGAAAGCACTCACCTCAGCGACTAAGCTGTGTGGATTGTCGTACACCCATTTAGTGCATCTATGTGATGCATTGTTCAGGTCTGAACACGTATCATTGATAAAGCTTTCGTCTTTACACCTGAAAGTAAAACAGAATTATTTATTATTAGCCTATTAATAATATATGTATAGCAAACAAGTCAAGGTTAAATGAAGGCATTTGACCATTACACACTGACCTTTACAGTTGAATAAATTTGTGTACAGTATGATTGAAAACTAAGTTGGTTCAAAGATATTTTATTCTTATTAAGACAACTGTCACCTATTTCAAAACTTAAAACTAAACAGTAAATGGACAATGTTCTAGAACAGGGGTTTCTAAACTTATTTTGTTTACTGCCCACTTTGAGAATAAATTATTTTTTAGCGCCCCCATCTTTTTCACCTACTTAAAAACCACTATAACTTCAAATTAAATTCATTATTGTGAGTTATATTAGCGGAGATTAAATATTCATTCTAAACGAGACTTTTACTGTAACCTGAGCGCAGTAGGTAGTACACAACGGCGCTCAGGTCTCAAGTTAACTCTTACGGGCTACACCTGCCAATGAGAATGATTATTGACAAGCAACTTTATAGTATTCAGACAGAGTATCTTTTATTTAAAATAAAACAAACATAATCGATTCTAATATAAAAACTAATGTGAAGGATGAATTTGATGCTGTTTAATAAGTTTGTTGACATCAGGTTCCAATTTACTCAAGAACAGCCACCACGTTCGGTAACATGCAAACGATTTATCTTTTTAGTAAGTAGCGTTGTCACAGCACTAAAACCACGTTCACACAAATATGACGATGGGAATGCTATCAAGAATCGTTGAACGATTGATCACAATGCAGGGTACAATTGTGGGATCGGTTTTTGTAGCCAACATTCTTGGTAGCCATTTTTGAACTTGATTTTTATTTCCTCGTTCGTTGTCAATTCTATAAGTTCTTCTTCCAGCTGAGGTGATATTGCTGTGTTGACATTTGAAAACGGACCCAACATCCAGTCTGTTATTTCCAAGTTCAAAATGTCCTGGTACCGTTCGGTGAAGTCAATGTGGAGGTTTTCCAAATATTGGCAGTAGGCAAACAAGTCGTCGTTACTGCAGGATACTGATTAATTCGGAAAATTGTGAAACTCACTTCTGCCCACATTCTTTTTGTGTAGAAGCAGTTTGGCTGCGAAAGCAGCCAAACGACACTTTTTGTTTTAATTAAATTTAGTTCATCGCCTTGCAGGTGGAGATTCATGTCGTTGAACAATTTATACAGGTCTGTCATGTAAGCTATATCATTCTTTGATGTAATGAGTTTGTTGCGCAATTCGGTATCTTTACTTTCCAAGACCTCTATCACAGAGTCAAACAGGTTGTAAAATCGAGTCGGATAATTACCTCTTGATAGCCAACGAACTTCAGTATGAAACAACAAACGGTTAAAATCTTCGTTATTAGTAACACAAAGCTGATGAAATAAAATATCATTCAAAGAGCTGTTACGGATCTTATTGACTGCTTTGATGACATATTACAGTGATTGAAATAATCGTTCACTTAAATTTCTAGCAACCAAATTTGTCTATGAATAACGCAATATACAGCAAGGACATCTGGAATTTTATGTTTTAAGTACGCTATGAAGTCTTTATGGCACCCTGTCATAGCCAGAGTGCCATCCGTAGCAACTGATATAAGATTTTTCAAGGGAATCTCTTTCTCATCACATAACTTTTCCAATGTATTGAATATGGTTTCGTCTTTTGTATCGGTCTCTAAATTTCTAGCAAACAATTAAGAACAGTTCTTCACATATTTTTTCATCTTTAATAAACCTCACGTAAGACAGCAACAATGCTTCATTAGTTGGTAAAGCGGACTCATCGAGCTGAATTGAGAATTGACTAGTCCTCAGATGATTGAACAATGATTCTTTAATGTTTTCAGCCATTTCATCAATTCGTCTTTGCACAGAATTATTACTCAAAAGAATTTTTCGGATAATATCTGCGGCCGGTTTATGAAGCACAGTAGTTTACTTCCATTATTGCTGGCAAAATTGACTCTTCTCCGAAGTTGCGTGGTTTGCCTTTTTGAGCAATTAACAAAGAGATATTGTACGAAGCTCGAAGTCCGTCGTCATCTTACTTAGCAGCCGCCGAAAAGAGTTTTGCTACACTTGGCGGAGTATTATGCTTCTTCTCTAGGTCTTGGAAATATGCTACATTCTTGTCTTTCTTATCTGATGCATTTTATTCAAATAATCTTACAGTCTTGAAGGCTTCATTGTTTCATTCGAAAATGTTTTTAGACATAGAAGACACTACATAGGCGAATTTAATATATTCCGCACAGTATTGCCGTATCTTCTTTTTTACGTCCGACATTGTTTTGTTTTGAGAAATACGTAAGTAAGTGTTGAACTTAAGTACTGCTTATCTATTATGCGCGAAACCGCAAATGAAAATAAAATAAATATTACGTTGTTTATATAGTATTGCATAAGCAGCACGCACCGACAGGAATAAGACAAACATGCATAAACTCGTTTATCTCATTAGACGCTCAATCGTACTCAACAAGTAAGAACAAGTATTCTATGATCCAGCCGACTGATGCAGGAATGCACAAATCAGGTTATTAAACAAAAACTTGTTAAAACATAATTGCCCACAGTCTATTATCTACGAAAATTATGTATCTAAGAATACTAATAACTATTAAAATGCGAAACTGTGTCTGTTGCCTTTTTATTTGTTTGTTTGTGTCTACTGTCATTTCGAAACGGAGCGACCGATTGACATGATTTTTATTTAATTTATTCAATAAAACAGGACAGATATATGAACTACACGGAGAGAAATATCGGACCGAGTTAGTTTGAGCAATCTCTTAATTAATATTAGTTGATGTTCACAAGTTGGAGTCGAGAGTCGAGAGCTCAGTTGTTGTCTCCCCTTAAGTCTCTACACAACGCCCCCATTTTTTTTCTGGGTCTCTTACCGCCTCCCTTTAGGCCTGCAGCGCCCACAATGGGGCGTTATCGCCCACTTTGGGAAAGGCTGTTCTAAAACAAGCTTTAAAATAAATAAAAAAATAAACGTTAAAATTTTTGATGTAAACAGGCAGTTGGGAGCTTTTTAGTTTAACATTAGTAGATACTACCTACATACATATAATTCACGTCTTTTCCCCCACCTGGTAGGCGGTGAGGCCTTCCAATGTTTTTATAACATCAAGTGACGGGACGAACAAGTCCTGCTACGATCGACACACGTCATCATTTTCATACATGTTAGGGTACGCTTGGTCAGGCTTTTGTTTAGAACGTTTTCAATTTAGTATGTCTGTACGTTCGCTCTGTACCTTATAAATCTGTTTCATCAATCTACTTTAATTCTTCCTCTCTCTCTACATGTTTACACTAAGCCTTTCTCGCTCTCTATTTATCACTACATGTTCTTCCACGACACAACGCCCTCCTGATCATATTGTTCCGCAATTTGTTTATCATTGTTTCTCATAATAGATAGTTTTATGTTTATACAGTTATACACATTAATTCTGAATTACATCGTACTTTTGAATAATAAATATTACTGAATAACATCCTGTAAGTATTGTATGAAAAAGACTATTCATTCTATGACAATACATTGGCGGACATTTGATTCAAACAATTTTTTCAGTTGTTGTAGTGAAACTGCTGTGGATTCAAAATATTTTATTTATACTAATAAATTATTCTTACTATTATTAATTGGACTTTTAATCGGGAAGTTGAATGTTCATAAAAATGAGTAAAATTAATTATTTTTTTTGTTGCTGATCTATTCAGTTTTATGTGAGGATTATTTTTTGTATGAAAAATACTTTTTTTTTAATTTGCCCAACTTCTGCTGTTCCGATTTTTTCTTTCAATATAATAAAATGAACCTTATAATGAAACTAACTCTATCAGCTTAAAAAAATAATCAATTTTATTAATTTTGTATGAATAACATTTTATTTTATTTATTTATTTTAGTAGCAGTACCTACAGCTTCTAGTGAAAAACTTCGTCCAGGCAAAGTACTGCCACATTACCTATTTCTGCCGCAAAGCAGTAATGAGAGCGTTACTGAGTTCCGATTTTGAAGGGTAAGGGTAAGGGTGCTGATGAAATTACAGGCACATGTGACTTTTCAACTTATGTCTCCGGGTGAGTGGCGCTGAGGCAGTGCGCCTCAGATCTTTGCGATTTAAAGCTCTGAGTGGCGCTGCAACTGCAACAAAAAAAAAGACTTTTTCCCTCAATTTTTTTTTTTCAAAACAATCAAATGATCTTTACAAGAAACTGAGTCGATCAGCACTAAAAAAATAAATGAATTTTACTCATTTTTATGGACACATTTTGATCAAAAAATTACTATACCAAAATTGTTTTCAGAAAAAGGGACTCAATGGTTCCTAAGACAGGTTTTTGTGTCTCGTTTAGTTTCGGATATCTCCATAGTGTCCCAGTTAAAAAAGAAAACACACTATATATTATATAACTTTCATCAGATATCGAATATCATCAGATATCAAATGAAATAGTTTAAATAAAGGTTAGGGACGGGATAATAGAGAACAGAAGGGAAAAATTATTTCGACGTTTGTTACATAATGGCGAGTTTTTGAAAGTTAAAATTCAGGGGCAGATAGAAGGAAATCGGAAGAGAGTAAGGCTAAAAATGGCGTACAGCGAACAAGTAAAGAACATCAAATGGAGCACCTATAAACAGATCAAGTAGCTGCCTGGCTATTAAATATGAGGACGAACTTCCAACAAATTTTTGTTCTTTGGAGATAAAAAAACATTCCCAAAGTAATAATAATTCCTATAAATACCAAAATGCTCCTACATACCTACGACAATATTATACTAAGTTAATTTGGAATCAGTGTCGCGGATCCGTACCAATTCACAGCGACTTTACCTAATGGTTATAATTATAATGAATGCGGCTCTCACTTTTAAAACGTTTTGTAATTGTCTGCATGTATTTTTTGCGGGAGAAACCTGACCTAGATGCCAATGATCTTATGTTACGATCATATTAAACGACGTTTGATATCTGTCGCGCAATTTAAAATACACCTATAAACTTTTTAAAAAATTAGACGTTATTTGTATTGGCGGGGCATAGATGATTTATGATTTTGTTGAACTGAATGAACGTTCTGAAAATTAGGTAACAAGTGAGTTGTGTTTGGAGAAGGAAAAAAAATGTTATTAAACAAAGGTGAAAATTATCTACCTAAGGACAATGCTTATTTCTAAGGTAATAAATAGATTTGTTTGTTGTGTTCCTATCCTTTCACATTATTGATCCTTTGACTTTTTTACGTATATAAGGTCATTGCTAGTCACGTTTTATGTTATGATTTTGTGCTTTATTACAACTCCGTTTAAATTCAACTCTATTTTAAAGTAATAATTGCTGTAAAATGTAGTTTAGTACTGCAATTTTCTATACGCGACGCGCGACGGTGACATGTGAATCGTCGGTCAGGTTGCCGGTTGGTAAACAAAAAAAAAACGTTTGGTACATAAGATCATTGGGTAAAAAATGGTTATGGTAACTTTACTTTTCAATTCTGACTTTTGATCAATGTCCGAGTCGTTATTAAAAGAAATCTATGGCGCATTGCAGCCCTTCCGTTATGCGATAATAGTGGTATTTATGCTTACGTTTACTTTAGTAGAGTTAAAACGAAAATTAAAGAGTTAGAGTCTTTGCGCACGAATCCTACAAATGACGGTCCGAAACGTCATAGGTGTTCGAAGTGTCATTTTATTATCTCTGGTGTACAAGCGATATTCGTATTTTCTTGGATTAGATCTCGGATTTAGTGCATTAGCGACATCCAAAGTGGTTCCGAGTTTTCTAGATTTGTATAGTCTAGGATTTGGAATGAATATGAATCTGATGCGGTGCCCAATGCTTAATATATTATTTTCATTATTATTAAACTTAACATTAGCTCAGCCTGAATATTCCGATTAATGTGCGAATGATATAATTATTTCCCTACGATTACTATGCCCAAAAAACTACAATTATGAAGTTTATTATCAGATAATTCTTATTATTTGCATTAGTTTCATAATTAAGTAATAATTGAACTAAGCATAATAGAAATGTCTTATTTGGGACCAGCCTCCACAATCAGATTATATTTTGATGTTATATAAAGCATTAAGTACAATTTGTGGACACAGTAAATGATTTATTATAAATTTTTTTCGGGTCTAAAATGGCCTACGATTATTTTTCAAACAATCCCATGATTTGGGATTTTTACAAGTGTTATGGTCACGTCAAGACATAACGTATTCTTGGTGTAATAAAGCTGCATGTGGTCATACCTTAAAAGTGATTTTGTTACGTGAAAGTCATAAAAATAATGCAACAAATTTTGTTCGTAGAATCTTTAAGCCTCTCCCTTCAAAAGTTATAATTTGGCAGATGTTTCCTTAATATACCAAAGGTGCGATATATGCGATTTTAGGTCCAAAAATGGTTTCATTCGCAATGTGTCACAATCACGAAAATCTAGGAACTCGATATTACAATTCCGTTAAATTCAACTGCTTTTCAATTTTCTTTGCCCACTATATTATAGATTTTTCGTATCGTGGCACTTCCCATGGCTATTTCTATTTGAGAATTTGATATAGTTGGCAAACAAACACCATGTGTTAAGTAGCAGCAGAGCTTCTTGCGAAAGAATTCGTCCAGGATAGTACTGCCGCCTGACCTATTTCTGCCGCCAAGCAGTAATGTCAGCATTACTGTGTTTCAGTTTAGAAGGGTAAGGCTCAACTCACTCTAGCGCAGAGTCGAAGCTACGCGACGTGTCATGTTTTTCGCCTATAGCATATTCATCTCTAATTTCCTATTACTAAGGCACACATTTGTGTTATGCAAATGTGGAAACTACTAAAAAAACTGAAAAATCTGCTGCGCGTTACTTGCGCGCAGTGAGGTGTCGGACACCGACCACACGGTGATCCGGGCGCACTAATGCGAGCGTCGTCGCGTGTCGACGCGTCAACTTATGTCTCAGGGTGACGGGCACAGTGGCAGTGCCACTCAGATCTTTGTGCTTTAAAGCTCTGAGTAGCATTATAATTGTTATGGACAGAAGTGTCGCTTTCCAGCAAGCCCACGACCTACTCCATATGTCACTTGATATTATAAAAAAAAGGTAGCATTTGTGGCAACTTGTTTGCCTACGCGAGAAACACACCAAACATCAACATCACATCAAAGAACTCAAATAGGCAAATACGCAAGTAAACCGTCCATACTATGGTTATGTTCATTATTTTAACTCCTTATTTGGCTCCGTGTGTAGACGTTCATATTTGTCAGTGTCTGCGTGTTTGTCTGTACGTCAAATATTTTTCTAAGTACAACAAATATCCAATAGTGAATACAAATAGCCATGTGAAGCTAATAGATTAAAAGCGAGGCACGCGCACGGGTCGATGATGTAAGGGGAACAATTTGAGGGACTGAACCATTTGTCTATCAAGTTTTTAAGTTTTTTTCTACGGCAGATTACGGTATGCCGTGATGAATTTTCATTTCAATTAACTATAATAATTGATGCTGCTACTGATAATTACTACAAGAAAAGCCGTAAAAAATCTATAAAATCGAACGAGTGATTAATTTTTTACCTCTACTTGGATAATATTTTGATTGCAATTTTTCTATCAATGTGTTTTATCTTTTAGTAAGACATAGGTAACTTTTTAGCTTGACTTATTACATTTAGTCTTATATTGAATGACGTAAATAAAAGAAAAATAGTCAACAACACATACGTTGGTTGCATCAAATCCAATAAAGTAAGTAAAGCTTAGTGTTATGGAAATCGGAAACAACGACTTTACCAAAAACATTCAGACTCGAGACGATATACAAAAGTTAGTTTCCACATTGACCTGACCGGGGATCGAACCAGGAACCTCAGAGATGGCTACACCATGAAAACCGATGTGCAAGCCACTTGACGACGGAGATTGTCAAATAAATAAAATAATATTTTTATAATATCGTAAATATACATATATTAAAAAGATACTTAAATTGTAATTAATATTAAAACAATCCTAATGCAAAGTGTAACGTAATATACTATTGTCGAAATTTATTTAATTAAATTGTTATAGGGTGGTCACAGGACAGGCTCTGCCTAGTGTGGGACCAACTGTAACCATGCATAGTGCTTCCAGGCATGACATCACGTTTGCAATGCGTTATACATGTTAAAACATAATGTCAATTTAGCATAAGCTTATTTGTTGTATTATTTTTTTAGAAATCTTATGATATTGCTCTCTATACATGTGATGTCAAATAAACATATTATTATTATTATTTTTGTTAGATGTCTTCGAAAGTTTTTTTGGGTTTTTTTCTTATTATGTGGCGTTGCAATAATAGGTTTCTATTTCTTTTTCTAATATTTTACATAATGAATAACTCTTCCTATCTTATATATATTAATACCATATATTTCGTATAAAAAGTTGCTACAGTTAAGTTTACTACAGTTCTCATAATATGTAAAATACTAAATACTGAAAAAAATAAAGTGTACAAATATAGTTTTGGCCCAAGGGCTCCTTGATGTAGTCTCTATCGGATAAACATTGCACGTTGTTTTAACGTTAACTAGTGTCATTAGAACTTCATTTCAAAGTTCCTGTAAGTAAGTAGCTGAGTGTAATATGTATGTGAGGTATTCTACTTAATGTCAGAACGAACTTGATAGTATGTAAACAAAAAATAAATACATTACCTGTAACTAACCTCTTCAGCGACGAAAACAAAATTAGCGCAATAAATAGAATTACTCATATAGGCCAAAAGGATTACCACTGTCGATTGTACATAGTACTTTCCGAACAAACTAAACTTAACTAAAATATCGTCAAGTTCCAAAATTTTCTTTTCTGTTGACGTTACTACAGTCATTTTTAATTTTTTTTAATTAAAAAAAAATTATTTATTAAATTTTCACACAAAAAATGACAAACATACACTTAAAAAAAATTCAACACATTTTTTTGATCCAGCGCACTGCCAATGACAATAAAATCTAAAGACAGTATACACGACAGTAATGTTAAGTCAGAAGTAATCAACTGTTGGTTATGAATGGTTGACTCGCCTTGATCGTACCTTGTACAATAGATTATACCTTGAATGTATTGTTTAGTACGCGTAGTCCCAAGGTTAGATATAGTTTGGATAAAAAAGCGAGACTTGGCATTTAAAAAAGTTACGTTGTTAGAAACTCGTTAAACGTTGTACGTATTAAAAGTTTTTTTAAATAGAAAATTCGTCGATATTTTTGGAATTGTAGCTTTGAAAATCTTAATTTTGCACTCATAGAGTTATTATGATGAAATATAAATATTTCGAATCATTCGAAGAACAGATTATATAGCGAAAAGAGAATAAGTACGTTACGAGAATAATTTCGTTATTCAAACGAGTGCCTATGTAAAGGTGTTTTGAGAATTTAAATATCGTATTTCGTTTCGGAAATATAAAATCGAACAACGGTCGATCTGACAACCACAGCGAAGAAGAACGAACGAAATGTGCTATGTCCTGAGAACAAGTACTCTAGCACATAGATCTTTGTTTTACGGATGAATCGATTTATGCGGTCTGTGATAAACATACTCGTGATGTTGTTTTTTGGAACATGTATATCGGATTAGCAGCAATATATCTGGCGAGAAAATTATTAATGATGTCAACCCCGTGCTAATAACTTATTTCAGTTCCTAACTTAATGATCTTTATTTATTATTTTTTTTATGATACCAAGTGAGGAGACAAATAAGTGCGTCTGGTGGTAAGCGACACGCCTGTCCATTACAGTTGCAGTGCCACTCAGAGCTTTAAATCACAAAGATCTGAGGGGAACTGCTTCTGCGCCCGTCACCCTAAGACATAAGTTGATAAGTTTCATGTGCCTGTAAAGTCACCAGCACCCTTATCCTTCAAAACTTTTATGCAGTAATGCCCACATTACGGCTTGGCGGCAGAAACAGGTAAGGTGGCAATACTTCCTTGGACGAACTCATTCACAAGGTCCTCTACTGCTACTATTAAATTTCATCCTTATTGGAACATTTGTGCTAATGCAATAACTAAACACTGTTGGTATGCTCAAAAAAGTTTTGTTACATTATTTTTTGATGGAAGACGTTTAATGATCAACTTCGAAAACCACAACATAGCGATCGTGTCGCCTGTAGGCAACTAAAAAAAATTGCTTAGATTTTAATGCATTTAATGCGAAAAAAAATAAAAATCTCTGTGGCCGAACGGTTACCATGCCGATTTGCAACGCAAAGGTCCCAGGTTCCTACATTTATTTCTCTCGTGAGTTTGGGTGTAATTTGTGGTTGTTTATGTGTATGTCCATGGCACCCGCGACACAGGGTTTCCCTAGTGTATGTTGAGTGTGTGCGTTATTGTTATTATTCCTATTATTATATTGTATTTTGAATATTGAGGCTTAATTCATGTAGCGCGCACTGTCATTACAATATTATTCTCCTATTCGCTTACTCTTGTAACAAAAAACCAAAATCGTTAATCGTTTGTGCGAAAAAAGCAACGCCTTGTCGTTGGTTCAGTAAGTTGTTCGATAAGTTGTCCTACAGACTGGCTGACTTTTGTATCACGTTTAATTTATTAAGCTACGTCGGCAGTAAGCAAGTATTTAACCAAAATTTTACCTAATACTAAGTTGCAATGTGGTGAAGGATGGCGCAAATTTGCCTACAAACTAGACCAATAAGCCACTCTCGCTTTGACAAGTTGGCGAACAGATCACATCGGCAGAAATTTTCGCGCCGTAGTTATCAGGTAAGGCATTAAAGCATAGACGTACAATTCTAATCAAACAACTGTTGTTAACATCTGGACATTCATTCTTAAATTGGACAATGGTCACTTATCGTTTCATCGGGGTGGTACTTATTGCTTCATTATAATCATAATTGGTTTCGACGGGTGGTGACAGGACTACACAAGTTGTTTTTCCGGATATAAATTGTCACAATTGTTGAAACAGATAAGTTTTTGCGTATGCAAGACACTTATGTAATGACAAAAGAAATTAATGACAAAATATTACCTAATATGTTTTACTTAATATTACAGTCCAATTAGGATTCAAAGTGGTCGCCATGAACGAACACGATCGGATAGATAGACAGATGATGTTACAGCCTTTTTAAACCAATTTCAAAAGAGGAGAAGGCTGTCAATTCGAGCTACATTTGCTTTTTAACCGACTTAAAAAAAGGAGGAGGTTATACGTTCGGCTGTGTGTATGCTTTCAGATATATCCGTCAATTGTAGACCGATTTAAAAAAATCTTTTTTTGTTTGAAGGGACGCATTTTCGTGATGGTCCCATTGTCACCAAATCAGACTCTGATGAGGGGATCCCATGAAAATCGAAGGAAATCTTCAAATTTTATAAGCATGTCCGTGTATTCTAGTATATATATAGATATAGTACCGTGTATATATATATATATAGGAGAATTTTCAAAATCGGTGCACAATTGATGGAGATTGGTTCTCCATCAATTGTGCACCGATTTTGAAAATCCTTCTTGAGTTTGAAAGGGTATACTCTCGATGTGGTCCCTGATGCTGTTCCGGGTTCGTTTCGGCTATCCCAAATTACTAATTATTTTTCACAAATAAAAGTGGACTTTTCACTTCACACAATACCTACATAAATGTAATCAACAAATTGCCGTCACCATGATAACCAAAAAAGGACGTATAAAATGTACAAAGGAGTTCGTAACAGTCCCATTGTCACTAAGAAGTCAGAATTTGACGAGGGGATCCCATAGAAATCGAAAAAAGCCGATGAGCAAACTTTTGAGGTCGGTTTTAGTTTTTCAATGGAAAATTTACAAGTATTTATGATTATATTCACTTCAATTGTTAGTGCATCGATAGTTCGAAATTGCAAACAAGTTTTGAGATTCTTGTTTCAAAATAATAAGTATCTGGTGTTAGGATATAAGCATAAATTAATCAAAGTGTATGAAGATGTTTAAGTGAAAATTGTATCCACCGTCTTAGGATAGTAATAATATAATGTACGAAACAAAAGGTTTGTTTATAAATAGATCCAAATGTTGGCACCGCGGTGCTGAGCGGAAACAATTCTCCAATCATCGGATATCATGAGATCGCTTCCTTCGGGAACGCGGTCACTAGTTGCGTATACGTCGTCTCTACTGTATCTACACGTGCGTTATTCTTCAATGTGGGTGTTCCACTTGTCGATTCTATTTCTATACGTATAAGACAATTGCATAAATGATTTTTTGTTAATGTCGTCAAATTTTCATCAACCATCCACCAGAAATTAAACTATACAAAAATTTTGACATTACATACTTCTTCTACTTATCGTATCGATGGCATACGCTATAATCGTTGCCATTGTGGTGACAGAATTTGCCCATCGGGGTAAGGTACCCACTTGCCAATTGTTGCCCAGAGTGGGCAAGACGCACAGAAAAGGGAAAGTGGTACATCGTGCGGGGAGGCTCCTTTAGTGCACCTCGACACTTAAATACCAAAACCATTTTAGTTGTAACAAGGGATTCTTATGGTTTTTTGGTTTTTACACATTGAAATACAATCCACCGTAAATTCTTTCTCTTTTATAGCTTTTCTGATATTACGTTGCATGTTATATATTTTATACATTTCTTACGAACAATGAGCCATGCATAAATTAAGTTTTTGGGATAAGTGCATATTGCAGTGGTTTCCCTGCAGGTGATGCATTGGAAAGGTAAAACGGACCTAAAAGAATGGTAGTCCTGTATAGTGTGTGTGTGTGTGCGGGTAGTAGTGTCTGAAAAAGGAAACAGAGCTGACCCTGTGAACTATAGACCTATCTCAGTCATTTCCATACTCTGCAAAACTATGGAACGTGTACTTAACAACTGTCTCTTGTTATACCTCGAAAACAACGATCTCCTCAGGATCGCCAGTACGGATTCCGAAGAGGGCGATCTACTGGGGATCTTCTTGTGTACGCTTCTCACTTATGGAGCGAGACTATAGAAGGGCATGGCGAAGCCATTGCAGTGTCTTTAGACATGTCTAAGGCTTTTGACAGGGTCTAGCATGCAACAACAACAACAACAACCTTTTAAGCAACCTTCCCTCTTATGGGCTTCCCACTGACCTTTGCAATTGGATTTCGGACTTCTTGAGGGAACGTTCGATTCGAGTGGTCTTAGAAGGCTACTCTTCCGAACATCGAGCGATAGATAGAGTTCCTCAGGGCTCTGTACTATCCGCAACCCTCTTTCTGCTGCATATAAATGATAAGTTGATTCCAGGTACCTTTGTGTATGCTGATGACAGCACTGTTGTGGACAGGTAGTTGACCAATGCAAGGATCAGTGGAGAAGAAATCCAGTGTTGTTGAGAGTCTATGGTTAGTAGTTTGAATTTGACATTTTAGACAGTCTTCGATTGAGGCGACGCCAATCTTGTCAAATTTAATGCTACCAAAACACAGGTGCATCTACTCTCCACTAAACGGAGTCCCTTTCACCTAGCTCCGACTTTTCGTGATATATCGTTACCGATAGCCGACCGTTTTCACCTGCTTGGAATGGACCTGTCGTCGAATCTGAACTTCGGCAGGTTTCGATGGCCAAAAATGCAAACAAGAAGCTTGGCATCCTTTCCAAGGTGAGGCGTTACTTCACACCGGGACAAACTCCCATATCTTTTCGTTGTGATTATAGTGAACATCCCTACCTACCCTTAGGGCATACGAGAAGGGCACTATAACCTGTGCGTGCACAGGAACCGTATAAGTTCAGGTTCTGACCCCAGATCAGCCAGTGTACAGAGTTCTCACAGACCACCTTGGATTCAATAGACAAGCATGCAAAG